CTCGGGGCATGGTGACCTCACTGCTGACAAATCTGACAATAACTGCATTACTGCTTCCCAGCAGCCGTACAGACAATGCCATTTATGACCCTGTTCTCTGGAGTATCCCCCCTTTGTAGGGGAGGGAAAAATCCTGACTGTGCTGCTTTGTTTTTCAACAAACAGCTTAGCTTTTGTGTTAGAACAGAGGTTTTTTCTTCGGCTCCGTTTAAGAAGTTTTGGCACAAACATGTTTAAGGTGGGACCTCTAAACTTACTTAGTTTACTTTATTGAATGCCTCTGAAGACATATGTCAAAGCTGCCCTTGTTCCTTTTTTGCAGTTTAGGCATACTAAAATACTTGAATTATAGAGTTATTAGGGCAATTTACTCCATGGAAATGTTGAAATTTTCATGCAGGTTGCTTTTATGTGGAAGGTGAGGTAGTCTCTCAAATGCATCCTCCCGCAGTAAAACACTGCATTTGCTGGCATTCATGAATACTTGCAGTTTACCTTTTGGCTGTGTGTAGGAGTCTGAAGTCATTATGACCTTGAATATTAGCAAGGAAAAGATCTCGCTTGAAAACCAACCAACAAAAAGCCACTTTGGCATTTTCTCTTAAGGTCTTCTCCACTTCCTATGCTGGAGCATAGAAACGATAGGAACTCTACAGTTCAGCCCCTCAGCCCATGAATATTTTTAAATGGTGTCCATAGCCACCCTGAGAGAGGCACAGTGATGGGAATATACCCAATGCTAGGTCAGATCCAGTTACATCATGATCCTTATTCTGGCCAAAAAACTGAGGGCAAAGAATACCGCATCCTTCCTGGCAAACCATCCTGGCTTCTTCAGCCAGGGATCTTCCTGAGTTTGGAGCAGGCTCTCCACTGTCTTGATTAATGCCAAGGCTGGACTTACCCTCCATAAACTCGCCTAATTGCTTTTTGGAATTTGTGCTCTACAACGTTGGGTTTGTGTCATTTAGGTTCACAATTTAATTGCGTTGTGTAGAAAAAAAGCCATCTTACTGCGTTCATATTAAACAGTCTGCCCAGTAGTTCAGCCCCTCAGGGCTCTCCCCGAGCATCTTTTGAAAGCTGTTTGTGATTTTCATTATCTTTGGTTTTAGATCTCTGTCACATCATGCTTTTATTGGCAAATCCCAACTTATTCGTCTCTCAAGGTTTTTCAGCAGTGGACCCTTTCCTGGGCCTTTCTGGGTCAGTATTGTCCTTAATATACTTCTGTATATTATACAGAAGTATACATTATATAGTATAATATACTTCAGCATGGAAATTGAGTTGAAGGAGTTGTTGAGGTACATTTTGTTTATTTATGTTGCTTACTGTATATTTTCCTTGTTCTTGGCTCTGCTCCTTTGTCAGCCTGGTCTTCTGCCATTTCTTTATAATTCATACTATGTTGGTTTGGTTTTTTTTTTCATAGTGTCCTCTGATTTACCTTAACGCCATCATATTTCTGGAATGGCCATGATATAATTACCCTCCTACCCCCCTTTGTAAAAAAAAACATTATTCAGTTCTTTTATACCAATTAGAACTTGCTTGGGTTGCTGTTTTTATGCTGCACATGTAAATGCAGTCTTATTTGTGTTGACTATTCTTTGCAATTTATTTTTTTTTTTAACCCATGGAATTCAGTGACACGTCTTTGCTTCGTGTGCACTTCCATGTCAGGTGCCATTGTGTCAAACCGCCTCTCTGCTGCCATGTGTCACACAGCAACACGTAGCAGAATGTTGGCTGGAAAGTTCAATCTCTGACATTGTGGGCCATGATAATAAGATAGGAGGTATTACTTTCGGAGCAACCCTTGTATACACATCAATTTTCTGCAGATTTTCCTTGGAGGAGGAGGGAAGGGTAGGCATTCAGGGAATGGAAACTTTCACCTTCAGGGGCATTAGTTGTGCTGTTCTATTCTGGTGTGAATGGAGCCATGTGTTCCTTGCAGGCCTCCTTGGTGCCTGAAGTTTTCTCAGTAAAGCTTTTATCTTTCTTCTGCATTTCCCTGCACAGGGACTGCTCTGTTGGGGAGGGATTATTTTTATTATTATTTTTTGTTTAATGAAGGCTTTTGTCCCACTCTGTACTCCATAATTTCCCATCCTGTCTCTCAGATCACTCTTGTTCTGAAGGCTCCGAGTTGCATTTTCAACCCACGTAACCAAAGACAAATAGCTATATATGTTTCTTGACCCGGATCAGAGGCTAGACACCAACCTGCCTTTTCCTTAATTCATTTTTTCCTTGCTTTGATCCCCACTGATGTTTATTTTACATTTATAGCAATCTCCGAGACATTTAGCAAAGGCTTTGGATATAAGGTGAATTCTGAAATCCATAGCTTCTCCTCATAACGTGATTTTGAACTGAAATCCTCTTGAAAGGTCACTTGAAGTCTTGAAATACTTGAGCATTTAGATTGTTGTTGATTTTTCTAATGGTGATTGACTAGCCAGCAAGCTCTTCTACTGGAAAACAGAGTAAGTGTATTTTGTATTTTCTTTTCTTGTAAAACCCACTGGAATTCACACAGAGGGTGGTGAGGCACTGGAACAGGTTGCCCAAGGAGGCTGTGGATGCCCCATCCCTGCAGGCATTCAAGGCCAGGCTGGATGTGGCTCTGGGCAGCCTGGGCTGCTGGTTGGTGACCTGCACATAGGAGGGGGTTGGAACTGGAACTGGGTGATATTTAAGGTCCTTTTCAACCCAGGCCATTCTGCGATTCTATGAAATTCTGTCGTATTGGTGCTGGTACAACTGCAGTATGTACAGATGGGTGCTCATGGAAATGACAAGTGTATGAGGCTAAATAGTTTAGAAACTGTTGTGCATGGGAGAAATCACTTTGTATGCATGCATTGTAGTTAAAAGAAAACGCTGTATCTAAATGTTTGATGACTGATTCATTTTCACAGAAGATAGGCATGGCAGCATTTAAGTTACAATAGCTGTGTGCATCCCCAGTGTCATCCTGTGGTGACTTTATCATTGGCAGCTTGTTTGTATGGGGCTTTCAAGAGAATAGGCTTGCTCATCATACTGATTACATGGTTTTTAGTTGTGCAGTTGACTGTGGACGTGTTGTATGGGATAATTAATTCATAGCTCGAGTCTTGGTTTGATATCCTTTCACCAAATCTGGCTGAAATAAGGATTACCAAATTCATGTTTCTACAGGTAATCCCAAATAACACATAATTTTACAGGCATTTTGTGATGGATTAAAACACTGAATTGACTTGGGGTGTGGGTGGGGGAGAGAGGAAAAACATTACCATGTTCCACGTTCTTCAGTATTTTTCTCATTTCAGCATTCATTTGTCTATGTGTGTGTTTGATGCAGTTCTAATTAGTCTCCTTTAAGCAGCATGATGAAGTGTGTAAATTTTCATGTGTCATCTTGGTTACTGTTTTCTCTTTGAAATCAGTATGTCTCCGCTGCTCTGCTTTTAGCTTGTCCTTAGAATACTTTTCCATTTAGCTTCCAGGCTTTAATGATCCAGCTTTGCATTGAAAAAATGCAGAGTATTCAGTTATCATAGAAAAATGTTAATATCGGGTGGTGACTTTTTTTTTTGGGGGGGAGGGGGGAGAAGATAGATCATTGCTCAAAAGTTAACTTCAGGTTTTTGGTTTCTCCAGTACAAAGGGCTAAGTCTCTTCATGAAAATGACAATCAGAAGCACTTTTGGGAACTCAGAGGCAAAAATAAAACAGTTCAATGTATCCCTCTTTGAAATGCTTAGAGTCTGGTTTTTGTAATGAGTGACTTTAAAGAAAAAGCACATTCTGTGTCTTTTCTGGAAGAGAATTAGCTTTATCTAAGGCAATCAGTGTTTATTATAATTTCTGCATTTGGAGAAGCAGGTTTTAAGAAACCTACTATTTTGAACTTTTTGGTGTTGGCCACAATTAAATAAAGCCTTTTCCTTTGAAGAACACTTAATGGTTCTTTTTATGTCTGTATTAAATATTCTGTGGTACTGCATAGTTTCGTACCATCTTCTACTTGGCAGCCGCACAGTAGCTGTTTACTCACTGTCTTTTGATTAATTCTCTTGCTATTCCAGCATGTAATATACCTCATTTGTTTAGAGAAAGGGAATACATTTCATATTTAAAAACCCTTTTACTGCAGTTACTGCATCTTTGCAGATTTAATTAGGTCTCAGTCCCTTCCAAATCATGCAAGTCAAAGGTCCCGTCTTACTTGTCCCTGGGGCATCGTTACAAAATGTCCCCAGATGGAGTCTAGTTTCTAACTGATGACTTTACCATATAGGGGCTAATTATTTCTAATCTTACACATTGATGGGACTGTATTTTATGTCTCTGAGCCACTGGAACTGTTAACTGCCAAATTATCCTCCACTGTAATATGCGGGTTATGTCTCCATAAAATGGACCGACTTCACAAATGACAATCCCTTCCTACCAGGCTCTTGCATTTTGAGCCGTAATTATTGCTGGCACACAGCTCCATCCGATGAGCCCTTGCTAATCTACATTATTATCTGGGATAACCGTTAGTGCCTGGCTGCAGGCACAGGCCTAGGCTCTGCTCTATGGGGCAGCCGCATGGCTGTGCTCAGCCCAGCCTCCGACTGCTGCCTTTCCTTTTTATGAGCAATAACCTCCATCGGGTCTTTAAAAGAAATGACTCAACACTTTCACCTTCTGGAAGGAAAAACCTGTATTTTGAAGTCTATAACGCATGAAGGTGTCGGAAGCCTAATCTAGTATAAGCTGCCTTCAGTCAGCCCTCTTAAGCACCGGGAAAGAGAAATGAATATCTAAAAAGCACCAAATAGCTACAATTGTACTTGGATTTCATGGCTGTGTGTGATAGAGGTCAGTAACATAAAGCTGTTTATGTCATCACAGAAAGCAGTGCCTGTTATCAGAACTTGCTGTAGGCGAAGGTATTGGAAACTCCTTATTTAAGTGACCCGCTCCATTACAACTTCACTTTGCACATGTGGGATTCCTGCCCTGCTTCTCTCTGTCACTTCTGCCCCAGCCCATCGAGCTGCTTTTGGGCTTGGCTTTGCAGAGCAACAGCATAAAACGATGATAATTTGGGTTTGGTATCTTCCAGTGACTGCAAACCAGAAGCTGCGTTAGGAAAGCAGGGGCCTTGGAAGATTGGACTTTGGAAATATTGGGCTTCTGTCTCAGTTGGTTTCAGGGAAGTCAATAACGCCTTATTGATTTAGAAATTACTTTTTAAAACAACGGACAGTGCAATCTGAAGGGGAGTGAGCCTTGCAGAACCTGGCGTTACCCACGGGCTGCCAGCTCCAGAGGCACTGACTGCTAACCAAGGTATGGAGGCGTCGCTGCTCAGTTTGGGGACTTATCTTAGTAAAGGAAGATTGAAATGCAAAACCCCACCATGTGAATGTGGATTGATAAACCTTCCTTAAATGCTGAATGAAGTAGATAATTCTGTATTTATATACCTATCAGCATTAATATTATGGCCAATGTGTTAATACCAATGTCGCTGTAACTAATGCGACAATACATTTAGAGTAATAAGATAGTACTAAATCACTGTGACAGATACTAGACTGACCTTCCAAAATAATCCTTTCAGTCTAGAGTATGAGCAACATCTTTGCCCTTTTATTTCAGATAATATAAAATCACCCGCTGATATTTTTGTTCATTTTCATGATAGATCACTGTCACCCCACGAATCATCCCAACAGTGCATTTATTCATTTTTAAGCATGTCTTAATTTTTTTTTCTTTAAAAGAAGTGCAATATCCTGGAAGCCTGTGATTTGACTTAAGAGTGCTGAGATGTTTAACCCAAATGAGCATGAATTTGAGCATGCTGTTGTCTGCTGCTCCAGGTACCTTTGCAGTGCATTCATGTGTAGTGTTGGTATGTGCTCTAGGGTTGCAATTAACAGAATATATCAAGCAGTGTGCAATTGCTTGATATATGTGCAGTGTCCTGAGTTTGCTTTTTCTTTCTTGTATTTGAACTTAGTGTTTTGAGCAATTAAAGCAGAACATGAATCTTGTGCTGATCTAATGTTGGATCCAATTGGTAGGATTTCAATAATACTTTGTAAGTACTTTGTAAATACTTCAGTTGTAAAAATGGGGCTTTTATTCCCAGTTCTCCTAAATAATGCAGCACTCCTTAGAATCAATACCTATGTATACACATCTGTTTATCATTCTCACTAACCAAATTACATGAATGTATCATGGTGAACAAACCACAGCATCTTTAAGCTCCAACAGGAGAATAGATGTCTGTGGCTTAAAACAAATGGTGCTAGTTTGCAACCCTGCTTGTGTCCTCATTGCAGGGCTGCTGTCATTGTGCTCTCAGCACAAATTCATGTGTGCCCTAGCAAAGGGTAAACTGTTCTCTGTTTTTCCTTTGGACTAAAAAGTCAAATCAAGATGACTTTTTGGATTAGAAATGAAAAAACCTCTAATGCAAACAGCTGAATAATAGCTTAAGCCACTCCCTGCCCTATAAAACAATGGAAAGCAGTAGAAGTAACATCAAATAATCCAATAAGGACATCCACCCTAACCTGTCAACCCCCAACATTAAGAAGTAAAGATTATGTTGTTGTGCTGTCAGAAAGGGAAACAGGGCGCATGCTTCTCGGAGAAGTGAAATCTTTTATTTCTAGAAAGGGGTATAGTATGGTCTGGTTAAAAGTGAAGTGCTTCACTCTCACATCTACCTGCAGTGGTTTTGTAGTGTCTGGACAAAGGGCAGAGAGGGCTGAGAGTTGTATTTTCTAAAGGATTCAGATACCAGGTAGAAGGTACACACATTAACTGAGTCAACATGACTGGCAGTGAGTAACCCATGGGCACAGTGTATGTGCAAGTCCTTCACTAGAAGGGCATGTTAATAGTTGCAACTTACTACAGGAAAATACAGAATGTTCCAAAGATGGTGGGTTTTTTTCTGTAGTGCTTTCACTTAGGGTTAGAGCAGGCAAGGATGGAGAGTCATGCTGCGTGGTGTGATGGTTCCACAAGGAACTAGCACAAAACAAAGCATGGAAGCCCTGAAATACGAATGATGTGATGACCACAGCAGTATGGATAGAATCTTATGTGGAGTCTTATGTCTGACCCAAATTTCCAGTCTTCCCAGTAGAAAATTCCACCCAATCTCTCACTTGCCAGGGTGTATGGACTTGTAATGGCTCTCTGCCTGAGGATGAATCTCCCCCACTGCACAGAGGTGCTTGCTCTTGGCCTGAGGTAGGGCAACACCTGGTACACAAGAGCCAACCAAACCAAACATTGCACTGAGCAAAGGGTGTATCCTGCGTGGGAGCTCTTAGCATCTCTTTTGCTAAGCTTGAAAATGCTCTTTAATGTCCTGTAGCTCATTCTGCAGCTTCTTGTGGGAGAGTTTAATGGTAGCTAATGTTGGAGAGAATGATAGTGGTGACCAAGAGGTTTTTGAAAGCATATTCAGCACAGTCTGTCTTCTCTAACTGCTGAGTGTGAAGAGACTCTTGGGATCAATTCTAATCCCAGAGCACCCGGCAGAAAGACTGCAATTGAGAGGGGCCAGGATTTGGCTGAGGAGCTGGGATGGATGCAGAGTGCTGCTGAATTTTGTAATGGCTTATGCACTGGCTGCAGATCAGAGATTGTTGCTGAACAGAGCAACCGTAGGACAAACAAAGTGGTGATGGTAATCATCCATAACAATTTAATTCTGCCCTTGGTAGATGGTTACTTCAACGTTTTGTTATCCTGGCCTAAGCTGTTCAGTTATTGCTTCAGATCACATTGTTCCAGGTATTCTCTGCAGTAAAATGTAGGTTTCCAATGCTGTGTCTATCATAGTAGGTGAATTTAGGAAGACAGCTACTCCAGTTATGGTGTGCTATGTGACTTTAAACAGGGCAGACGTTGTACATTATTATGTCTGAGGTGCAGCAGTACTGAGGTCAAACAGCTGCAGTATCATCAGGTCAGTCTTCAGCATTTCACTTTATGGTTTTGAAAGTCCTCTCAGATTCCATAGTCTTAGCATGAGCTTTCTGTATTATTTTTTTTTTAAGAGAATGGAAACAAAAAGATGAAATTGAAAATACAGGCTACCAAGAAAGAAGTGGTTTTCTGAGGAACAGAGCTGATGAAGGCCATGAGTCAGTACTGGTGCTGCTCTCTCCTCCCTACATCTCCATATCCCACTTCATCTCTCCCCATTGCTTCCTTGTTGCTCCTGGACACGATCTGTGGTCCCTCTGGCACTGTGGGTGAACTCAGTGGCCAGTAGGAAAGTGTCAGTCAGTTGTGAGTCAAAGAGAAGAGAACCAATGAGCTGCTCTCTGGGGTGGCCTCTTGTTTCTACAAAATCATTTCATCTATTTATTTACTTACTTCTACAGTGAGATAAGCTATTGACCCTCCTGTCACACTGGTTGAAGCAGCCCATGTGGTCCAAAGTCTGAGGTTGGACAGATGGATGGACTGAACATAAATCAAGTTTGTTCAACTTAAAACTGGATCCAAGTAGAGAGTACAGTAGAAAAATGTTTTGTTTTGTCAGCTTTATTTATATTTTTCTGTTATTTTCAATTGATTCCCTGGTAGTAATTAATTAGGATAAAAGACAAGCCTTCTAAAACATAGGGACAAATTTCATGCAAGCATAATTGTGCCTTGCTATCCAGATATGTATTTATGGATGTAGGTATGTGAATGACTTTATTCACAGGAGTAGCTCCTGGGAGACAACTACTGTGAATATAACTACTCACCTTTTGAAATATTTCCCAGATTGGTTTTGCATCAAAAGGTGTTGGGGAGTTCATGTGCGTGTTGTGAATGTAACACCACAGAGCAGGGAAATTGCTGCAAATAAAGCAAAATGCATTTTCTTACCCATCTGTTGCAGATCTGATGTTGCTGAACAGAATAATTTGGTGGAAAAGCTTTTAGTTGTGCACAAAAAAAAAAAAGGCATGTACAAACAACCAGGAGTTTTGGGTTGTTGCTAGGCAGCAGGTTATTTCTACTGGGGAAAACTACTGGGTCTGGCTGGGCTGCTGGGGCTGTGGGTGCTGGTGGATCCCATTCAGGTGATGTCTGCCACCAAAAGAGAGCCTGAAAACTCTTAATATCATTACTTGCCAACTGGTACTTAGGAAACACTAGAAGTTAAGGTTCAATTCTGCACCGTCCATTTTTTTAACGGAAAGACTTTCTTTTATAAAAAGCAATTGCCAATTATCAGTTCTGCTGAGCCTAGCAATGCCCTGTTTTCTCTTCCAAATACGTTTCTAGAATCTCCAGAATGATCTGCGTTTCTAAACCTACTGCAAAGGAACTCAAAAAGGGTGATGTGTATGATCGAACAAAGCATGGCTGCATGGTAAAAATGCCCTATAAACAAAGATTTGTTTTACTGTCCCCTCAAAAGGTAAATGTAGGTATTACCTCACCAACTGGAAAGTTTTATGTGGTAGAATAATTACCACGTTCAGTTGTGTGAAGCGTGGTTAGATTTAGAGTTGAGGCAAGTCAATGGCGACTGAAAACAGTGGGAGCTGTGTACTCTTAAATTATGTAAAATAAAACTATTTGCTTCATCACTGAGCTAGAGCCTTGGAAATCTAATTTTTTAGGCTTTGCACTTATTTAAATCCTAGCTATTGTGGGGTTTTTTTTACCCTGTGAGCACTGAATTTTTCTTCTGGTTCTAGCCTACTGCATCCAATATAATCAAGCAGTTTCTGATGCCTGCAATCACATCAGTTAGTGTGAATGACTTTCTAGAAAGAAATAATATCTCAAGTATTATACAAAACTGAATGCTTCTATTATACAAAAGTAACATGAAATGTCTGTATTAAATCTGGCATGACTGGTGCTGCACTGAGTTGAGTTCCATTGTACAAACCTTTTAGTGTCAAATTTGGCTCATGCAAACATCCTGTCTTTTTTTGTTGTTTTGTTTTTGTTTTGGAAACAGAGTTGGACTAATATAGATGTGTATTGGAATCAATTATCTTGATATCTTGACAAAAGCGTCTGTACCAACAGCATCTATCACTACTGTATTAAGAGTATTAACAGGAAAGAAAATCAATAAAGCAAAATCCCCGCAGCAAGGATATATATAAAGTCACAAAATGCATGCATAGCAGATAGTGCACAGGTTTTCTCTTGTCAACTTTACGGTTTCTTATCTTAAAGTTCTGCTCTCAGAAAAGCAGGTGAGATGTAAGAAATATTGAATTACTTCTAGCTCCTATTATGCATAAGCAGCTTTAGGCAAATGCACAGGGTTTATAATTGCTACCAGTTCTGAGTAACACCAGTGGAATTTTTATTTAGAAAACTCATTTATGCCATAACATTTTGTGTATGTTATGACCTCTACATGAATACACATAGTAATGCTAGAATAACTGCTCATAAATACACTTCTTGGCTACAATATTGCTTTTCCTTTGTTTGCTTATGCATAGTATTTGTTATGTTTACAGTCACTGAAGAATTTTTTGGCTATCTTTAAACATTCTTGTGCCTTCACAAATGGACATGGTCACTAAAATGTAGATGCCTTGATAAAACACTGGGGAAGGAACTTTGCGAATGGTAGAGGGTCCCTTCTAGTACCTCTTTCTGCATGAAATGTTTCTATTACTTACGTCTTATATCGACTTATGTCAAATAATGGTACAACAGATTCTGTGGGAAGACTCTTTTTGGGTGGGGGGAAGCAATCAAACCACAGTTTTGACAACAAACCGAAGTTGTCATCACTCTTACATGTTGCTAGTGCTTTCTCATGCCTCTTACTCCATTTTGGGGATGGAGCATCTTGTACTGGAATCGGACTTGAAAG